CCCACCAGTGACAGCCCAGTAGGTGGCTCTTCGTGAGTGGGCGAAGACTTCTGGAGGCAGCTTGCTGTCTGGGGACAACCGGAGAGGAGTACAAGCCCAGGTCTCCTTCCCAGATGCTCGGACAACCGGGGGCTCCTGCTCCTTGAGCCCCAGGGACTGGCTCAGCTCTGGCAGTACTGAGAGCAATGTCAGCTCTCCTGGTTTTCCTGTCACCGGAAGACCCCTGGTGTTCGTCTCTGGTGGTCCTTTCTGGGCCATCACAGATGGCCTCAGCCCACAGACCAGCTCCTCCCTCCTGAGGTTCTCTGGCTGCAGCAGCCCTGGGAAGGACTGATTTCCCAGGGGCCCCAGTCGTTTGCTGGAGCCTGGAGGTTGCAGCTGACGCCGGGCCTCGGTGCTAAAACCTGCGACTGTGTGAGCTGAGCGGACCCTTAGCCCCTGCCACCAGCTACCCAAGACATGCCCCCAAACCCGGTAGCCACCCATCTAGTATCCCATCTTTAGATATAGGACTGCCAAGGTACGTCACTTGAGGCACACAGAATTGGAGCTTGTCTTTTGAGACACGGTGTTATTTTATAGCCAGCTGCTGTCATAAGTAAATGGTGTCCTTTAGGGAGTCTAGTTATGTCCTAGAGAATAAAACTAAATCATCCACCTATTGGTTAGGTTCAGTCTCAGGGAAAATCAACATCATTTAAATCAGCCTTTAGTATCGGAGAAAAATGGGTGGGTTTCCGTAAATCTCTTCGCATTACTGTCCAAGTAAATTAGAGATCTCCTCCAGGTGATAGTAAAGAGCTATTGACTGTCTTTCCTACAGGAATGCTGAAGAAGGCACTACAGAGAGCTTAGGAAAAATATTGACAATCCACAGGAATGGCTGATAATAGGACACATGGATTTAGAACCACAGGATGTCTGGGAATGCCTCTTTTTATTTTTAAATGCTCACCTGAGAATATGTTTTTATTGCCTTTTAGAGAGAGAAGAAAGGAGGCGGGGGGGGGGGGGGGGGGAGAGAGAAACATCAGTGTGAGAGAGAAACTGATCAGTTGCTTCCCACCTAAACTGGGGATTAAACCTGCAACCTAGGTATGTGCCCTGACTGAGAATCGAACCATGACCTCCTGGTTCATGGGTTGATGCTCAACCACTGAGCAACACTGGCCTGGGGGAAATTTCAATTTCTCATAAAGCATTGGTAAGAAGAAGGGAAACACCCTCTCATAACCCTTAGAGAAGCTCCATGCTTGCTCCTATCTCTCTCTCTTTTCTCCCCTCCCCCCTTTTCTTTCCTAAATTCCATTTCAGTTTTTGACAATTTTCCTTTAGACGATGTGGCTTTTTACAGTGAAAAGAGACTCTCTTTTGACATCATTGGGAAGTCCTTCGGGGAGGTCTGACCTGATGGCTTAGCAGTGATGCGAACCTTTTGAGCTCGGCGTGTCAGCATTTTGAAAAACCCTAACTTAACTCTGGTGCTGTGTCACATATAGAAATTTTTTGATATTTGCAACCATAGTAAAACAAAGATTTATATTTTTGATATTTATGTTATATATTTAAGTGCCATTTAACAAAGAAAAATCAACCAAAAAAATGAGTTCGCGTGTCACCTATGGCGTGTCATAGGTTCTCCATCACTGGCTTAGCTGCTGGAGCTATGCATTCATAATTTTAGTAGCTTTATCCTTTTCTACCTTTGAATCATTTCAAATAAGTCAGTGGTTCTCAACCTTGGCTGCACATTAGAATCACCTGGGAATCTTTTTAAAATCCCGATTTCTGGGCCTCATCCTCCGGAAATTCTGTTTCTTTGTTATGGGGTGGGGCCACAACATTAGTAACAAAGAAACAGAATTTCCGGAGGATGAGGCCCAGAAATCAGGATTTTAAAAAGATTCCCAGGTGATTCTAACGTGCAGCCAAGGAGAACCACTGAAATAAGTGATGGGCCAGAATTGCTAGTTTATCAGAATTGCTAACATATGTAGTTGACCAGTTTAATTCATGTTGTCCAATCAGAGTTACAAGCGCCTCATCTAATCCTTCTAGAAATGCTGAATTAAGCACTGGATCCTTATGATGTTCCTTAAAACCAGGGGTCCTCAAACTACGGCCCGCGGGCCACATGCGGCCCAACGAAAACATTTATCTGGCCCGCCGGGTGTTTTTGCCGCTGCTGCCTGTTGCTCAGCAGCCAACTAGTTTTTTTTAAAACTATAGTCCGGCCCTCCAACGGTCTGAGGGACAGTGAACTGGCCCCCTGTTTAAAAAGTTTGAGGACCCCTGCTTAAAACTGTCTGGAGACAATCCTGAATGTTGTTTGAAACTTTTTTTCAAAACATTCAAAGAAACCAAGTATGTTTTCATTGATATGGTTGGATTTTCATCCAATCTATTTTCTGGGGGTAGGGGGAATCTCAGGGGTGGCTTGGTGAAGCCAGTGGGCTTAATTCCCTGCGTTTTTCTTGGCCTGTTTCTCTGTTTTGTTTTGAAATCCTCTATAGAAGTTTTCCAGCAGACCTTACTTAGCTATTCTGCTGCTTTGCTCTCAGAAAACTGGTAGCTGTATTAGTTGAAACAGGTTAGAATATCCAGGATCATATATTCTAACAATTAAATAAAATTCTTTTGCAAACCCAAAAGGGTCTTAGAGAGGATCAGGAAAATGTATAGTTAGATTCCTTAATTCTGCTTTAGTCCATGAGAGCAAATTATTGCTGGTTCCCCTCATCCTGAGATTGGCTTTTCTCTAAGCAGAGCTACAATAATTTGTGTGGGTTGCTTTTTTTGTTTTGTTTTTTTTCTAGCCCTATTCTGGGCTGTCTTTTTTTAAAAAATATATTTTTTTATTGATTTTTTTTTTTTTTTTTTTACAGAGAGGAAGGGAGAGGGATAGAGAGTTAGAAACATCGATCAGCTGCCTCCTGCACACTCCCCACTGGGGTTGTGCCCGAAACCAAGGTACATGCCCTTGACCAGAATCGAACCTGGGACCCTTGAGTCCGCAGGCCGACGCTCTATCCACTGAGCCAAATCGGTTAGGGCTGGGCTGTCTTTTAATTCTTACTTTGCCCTAAGTCAGTAGAGGGAGATGGTGATGAGGAGAGAAGAGGAGGTGAAGAAAGGGGAGGCAAGTCCAGAAAAGGGAGGTCAGAGAGGAGAGGGCAGATAGAGGAAGGGTGAAGTGGGGTGTTGGCCCTGGTCAGCCTCAGAAGCCTTCTTTAGTTCAGAGACAGTTTCTAAAAGTTTCTTATTAATGTCCTTGAAGAGAAAAAAATATTATCGGAGAGTTCAGAAACAGTCTTTAAAATTCTCTTAAATTCTTAAACAGGAAAATTTACCTGTGTTCCTTTTCCAGACTTCTATTTTCTAATCAAGGTTAGTATCCCATTCGTTCAATTCCATTTTAGAGCCTGATTTTTCCAATTGAGCACACAAAAAATGGCGTAGAGGTACCAAAAGATACCTGTTTTGCCCGTCTTAAGCTGCTATCACTTTACCTAATTTCCCCCATTTCTGTGAACACTCTCAAGTTGAGGCTCCCTACAAATTGCACATGAAACTTGCCCGAGTACAGAAGGGAGGCTGGCTGTCACGGCGCTTGTCAGCCTTGGATGTGCAATTTCCCATGTCACTTTCAAGTTTTCTTTTGAGCCAATTCAGAACAACCCAAATAGCCCTGGCCGGTGTGGCTCAGTTGCTTGGAGAGTTGTCCTGTTTGATGAAAGGTGTTCGGTCCCTAGTCAGGGCATGTGCAAGAGGCAACCAAATGATGTTTCTCACATGGATGTTTCTCTCTCCCTTCCTCTCTCTAGAATCAATGAACAAATAAAAATAAATAGAAAGAACAACTCGAATAAAGCCAGGAACCACTACCTAATACAGGTGGGGTAAGGATTTCAAGAAGAGACTTGCCCAAGTTTACCTATGGAAGGTCAAAGAGCCCATGGAGCACAGTGGGCACACCGAGGCCTAACTCCTGGCCTGGGTGTGCAGGTGGCCCTGGGCAGGCTTATTTAGAATCCTGCCAGCTGAGCCAACTAATGCCCATGGAAGAATGTCCAAACCTGTAGAAGATTTTTATTAAAAAGTATTTGAGCTAAACAAAGCATATACCTGGAGGTAAGATAGCAACAGACTGAGAAAAAAATGATTCTTAGAATGTCAGTTTGCAGATTCTTTCTTTCTTTCTTTCTTTCTTTCTTTCTTTCTTTTAATCTGCAACTTCTTTTGTACATTAGGAATTAAGGAGGGAACATAGGGAAGATTGCATGTGGGTAAGAGAAGGCAAGGCAAGATTGGATTACAGGATAGTTAACAAGATTATGTACTCTCTTGAGGTGGTTTTCTTCTGAGGGGTCTAAAAGGACTTTCAAAGATGTGTTAACCTAGGTGCACAGAGACAATGTGAGGCAAAAATAACCCTTTTAACTACAGGTGATATATCCTCACCCATTAACTGCCAGGTTAGGAACTTACAAGCTCACCCTGTGAGGTTACTGTCCATTTTGTCCATATTCCCCACCTTCCTCCACACCCAGAACTGAGCCTGGGCCGGTTCTCAAGGGGAAAACAGAATAAAATCAGGTGAATGAAGGAGTGGTGGGTTCCCAGGACTGTGGGAGCAGAGAGTTAGGGTGGCCCCATCAGGACCCTGCAAATGCTCCTCACCCTGAGGGCACCTATGCCCTGACCCCACTCTACCTTGGGAGACAGCAGGCCCCACCTTCTTCAGGCCTCAAAACTTTGCCACACCCTACTACCTTCCTTCTGCAGTCAGGCAGGGGCGGGGTCAGGGAGCTGCCTGTGTCATTGGAGGGACATGGAGACTTTTATAGCCAGGGATAAAGTCCTCCCCTGATTAAGCCCAAAGAGCTTGCCCTGCAGCTGGTGCCCTGGTGGCTCAGCCTTGTCCAACTTCCAGCCTCACCTCACCAGGTCCCGGCCCCTCTGCAGTCCCGGCTCCAATGCCGGCCCACCATCCCGCAGGCATGCAGGGAGCCCACCTGCTGCTGCTGCTGCTGCTGGGCCTCAGGATACAGCTCTCCCTCGGATTCATCCCAGGTAAGGGGCCCCTTCCAGCCGGCCCCACACATGGGGCGCTCCCCCAAGGCTGACCTGACCTCCCTCTCCCCTTGGCCAGCTGAGGAGGAAGACCCAGCCTTCTGGAACCACCAGGCAGCCCAGGCTCTGGACACCGCCAAGAAGCTGCAGCCTATCCAAACAGCCGCCAAGAACCTCATTCTCTTCCTGGGGGACGGTGAGTGTGCATGGCATGTCCATTCCCAGAGCCCCACAGTCCTGGTACCCAGGGCTACCTATGGGCACAGCCATGCCTGCGGACTCAGACCTGACAGGGTTCCACTCCTTCAGGGATGGGGGTGCCCACAGTGTCAGCAGCTCGGATTCTAAAGGCGCAGAAGAATGGCAAGCTGGGACCTGAGACCCCCCTGGCCATGGACAAATTCCCATTCGTGGCTCTGGCCAAGGTAACGGCTGGGTGGCCACAGGGGTGGGGTGGGCCTAGGGAGCCTGGTAGGAGGGAAGGCCCCAGGAGGGTTGGGGCCTGAGTTAGGGGCCCAGGGCCTGGTCATGATCTGGGTGTCTTCCCAGAGAGGAGCTGAGGATGTCTCTGTCCCCAGACATACAACGTGGACAGACAAGTGCCAGACAGTGCAGGCACGGCCACAGCCTACCTGTGTGGTGTCAAGACCAACTACCGGACCATTGGTGTGAGTGCAGCAGCCCGGTACAACCAATGCAACACCACACATGGCAACGAGGTCATCTCCGTGATGAACCGGGCCAAGAAAGCAGGTGGGCTTGGGGCCAGCCTAGTGGGCAGGGGTCGGGCCCAGAGGGCACGGTGGCTCACCCTGACCTGACCTCCGTCACCCTCAGGGAAGTCAGTGGGGGTGGTGACCTCAACGAGGGTGCAGCATGCCTCGCCAAGCGGCACCTACGCGCACACGGTGAACCGCAACTGGTACTCGGATGCAGACATGCCTGCCCAGGCGCTGAAGGACGGCTGTCGGGACATCGCCACGCAGCTCATCACCAACATGGACATTGATGTGGGTCATGAGGGCAATGGGGACCTGAGCAGAGGGGGTGGGCCCCATGCTGGCCACAGTCCCAGGCAACCCACAGCCTGAGCCCTGGGGCCTGGGGCCTGGCAGTGTCTCTGGGCACTTGGGATGGTGGTGTGTAGAAGGTACAGGCAAGCCAGGCCTTGCCACAGACCTGGTGGGCGGGACCTAGAGATGGTTTGTTCAGGGGGCAAAGGGCCAGGCAGGCCCCAAGCTCACCTGCCCTACTCCTCTGGCTCCAGGTGATCCTGGGTGGAGGCCGCAAGTACATGTTTCCCAAGGGGACCCCAGACCCTGAGTACCCTGGTGATGCCTCAAAGAGCGGAGTCAGGTTGGACATGCGGGACCTGGTCCAGGAGTGGCAGGCCAAGCACAAGGTGATGGGGGCTCCTGGGGCAGGGGATAGAGCAGGGCCAAGGGCAGGGCTGCTGGTTGTAGAGCTGTGGGCTGAGGCCTGGTTCTGTCCCTCCCAGGGTGCCCGGTATGTGTGGAACCGAACAGCGCTCATTCAGGCGTCCCAGGACCCCTCCCTATCACACCTCATGGGTAATGACCCCTCAGTGGTCAGGGCAGGTTCCCCACCACCCACCCGTGGTCTTTCTGCAGGCGGCCGCATTGATCAAGGTCATCATGCGGGAAGAGCTTACTACGCACTGACAGATGCTGTTGCTTTTGATGACGCCATTGACAGGGCCAGCCAGCTCACAAGCGAGAAGGACACCCTGACCCTTGTCACTGCTGACCACTCTCACGTCTTCACTTTTGGTGGCTACACTCTGCGTGGCAGCTCCATTTTCGGTAGGTCTGGGGAGAGTGGCAGGTACCTGTTCCTTGATTAGGAGGCAGAAAATGCTCTGAACCTCAGTTTGCTCATCTGTCAAATGGGGTCATAATAGCCATAACTTTGCAGGGTCTTGTGTGGATTAAGTCACTGACTAGGCAAGCAGTGCCTGGGTTTAGCACACAGGGGGCGCTGCAGAGCTGTGGTGGTGCCACCACAGGTCCCCTCCTCTCCACAGGGCTGGCTCCTGAGGCAGCCTCCGATGGCAAGACCTACACCTCCATCCTTTATGGCAATGGCCCCGGCTTTGCAATCAATGGGGGCTCCCGTCCCAACGTCAGTGACAGCCAGAGTGGTGAGTGCACATCCCCGTGGGCGGGCAGGGTGACCTCTGTGGGGAACTCCCCGGAGGAGGGAATTGCCCAAGGACCCTGAACCCCCTACCCTGACCTCCCATCTTTGGCCAGGTGACCCCAACTACATGCAGCAGGCGGCAGTGCCCCTGTCATCTGAGACTCACGGTGGTGATGATGTGGCGGTGTTCGCGCGTGGTCCCCAGGCGCACCTGATGCACGGTGTGCAGGAGCAGAGCGTGGTGGCACATGTCATGGCCTTCGCCGCCTGCCTGGAGCCCTACACCGCCTGCGGCCTGGAGCCCCCCACCAGTACCAGCATCCCCACCGACGCCGCGCACCCAGGACTGTCCACAGGCCCCTCGCTGGCTTTGGTGATTGGGGCACTGTGGCTGATACTGCTGGGCAGAGTGGTGCCCTGACCACCCCACTCCCTTAGGCCCCCATCCTTGTCAGTGGAACCCCTGCCCAAAGCCTCCAGACCCAGGACCCACCTCAGGCCTCTGCCTTTTGACCTTTACCTGTTGGCAATAAATGAGCCTCAGCTGGTGCAGCGCTGCCCCCGCCCCACCCCGCGGACCTGATGGTGGGGCGCCCTAGAGGCTGAGGCAGTGGCTTTCCCCGCCACCCCGCCCCAAACTGGGTGGACTGAGACTTGAGCAATGTCCAGGCACCCTGATAACAGTGGCTTCCTGTCACCCTGCAACTGGCCCTGAGAGCACCTTGTTGATGGAGGAGTCACACAAGGGAAGGGGTCCCATGGGGGAGGGGTGTGCGCTTCGACAGAATCACTGGGCCTGGGCCTGGTACCATTACACAGAGGAATAGATAGAGACACAGAAAAGCGTCCCAAGCCCCTCCCAATGCCCTTTCAGACTAGGAGAGCCAAGAAGCTTCGGGCAGCCCCAGAGCAGCCTTGGCCCCACCCTGAGCCGTGTGGGTACTGGGCATAGATTGGTGACCAGGAGATGCCCTGCCCTCCAGGGGCCTCTATTCTGGATGGACACAGGAATAATCAACAAAACTGTTATACAACATATGCCACAGAATGTGTGTGTGAGTCAGGGGAGGGGAAAGGTGACGCAGATCAGGAGGGCAGGGGGCAGGGAGGGGCTCCCTGAGGAGCAGACAGGTGTGCCCGGACTGGAGGCAGGAGGGCTTGAGCAATGCTGAAAGAACAGCCTGCACAGATCCTGAGGCAGCAGTCACGGGCTGCTGGAGGTCAATAGCTGGATCAAAGGAGAGAACCCCTGAAGGGAGGGGAGCGGCTGGGGGAGGAGCTCAGAACTGACCCACAGACTCGTATGTGATCACAAGGCTTTGAGCACTGGCATAACAGACCTGACTCGAGGAAATATCGCCCTGGCTCCTGTGGGGAGAAGACTATATTCTGTTTTGTTGGAGGGAGTGGGGCAGAAGCAGGAGATGGGAAATCCCAGGGGAGATGTGGACCCAAACCTGTCTGACCTCCATCCCAGGGCCAACATTCTGGGGTACCCACTCCAGTAGAGCTACACTTACTGAGTACCTAACCCACCCAAAGGGAACATTTAAAAGAATCCCAGAAAGGTGAAATCAACCATATTTTTCAATGCATTTGAACAGAATTACTGATTTATTTGTCCAGTGACAAAGGTGCAGAAAACCACTTGGCTCTCACTGGAAATACTAAGCTGGTAGAGCATGCATCCTCATTTACTAACATCTTGATTAACACTAACATCACCTTGAAGGGCTGGGTCTCAGGGCAGTTTAGTCCAATCCTGGATTTCAGTGGCTGTCACAGAATGGGAGCGTAATGGAAGAGGGGCATCATTAGCTGGGCTCACTGAAGCATCTCACTCACTGGGAACTCCATCCACGGGTTGTGCAAAGGATTGTGTTAGAATCCAGCTACTATTTGTCTTCCCTTTGTCAGTCAGTTGATCTTACTCACCAGTGGGAAAGTGCCACTTGTTTGTTTCGTAAATGGACTCAAAACCCAAGGTAACCCTACATTTTAAAACTCTACAAGTTTTAGAAATAGATTATTCTAGAATTAGTGTTGACGGCCACACAACTTCAAACATTCTAAAGAACATTGAACTGTGCACTTTAAAAGGGTGAATTTTATGGTATAAAAATTATATCTAAATTTTACAACAGTTTCTGCTCCCAAGTTTTTTCAGTGTGTAGGTATGAGGGGGTATATTGTCAAACACATTGTTGGCCGCCAAGTCAGGTGTCTATGGGAATATTCTTAACATCTATTTGATTGTCTTTATCTTGAAAGGGCAGACACATGGAAAGTGTGTTTTTTAAGGTTTTTATTGGGGGACTCAGACTGACAGCTCTTGTCACTCAAGACATGTCAGCAGCTTGGTCTAGAATTAGGAGGGAAGTTAGAAAGAGAAGGAGGGAAAACTAAGATGGCGGCATAGATAAACACCGGGAAATTGCTGCCTCCCACAACAATTGAAAAATACATCAAAAACACAAAACGGACATCATCCAGAACTACAGGAAGGCTGGCTGAGTGTAAATTCTACAACTAGAAGGAAAGAAAAGCACACTGAGAGGCAGAGGAGCTGCGGAAGTAAAGTGCAGAGGTA